TCAAAGCTAAAGGTATGGAACTGCGTGCTGGTTGGCTCTTCATTTTGCAGGTCTTACTCTTTTGGCTGAGTTTCGGATCAAATTGGTTTCTGCTATATATGTGTCGTGTTCAAAGCTGGAATTCAGTGTTTCATGAATGAAAAGGCTCTCATCCGGGTTCAATGGAAGCCTTTGAAGCACAAGAGACCTTGCCTTTTTCACCTAGTAGTTGCACAATCAAGCAGAACCTGTAACATGTACACTATATATATATATATAAACTGATGCTATATAGCTTAGGTTGAACTAATAAGTATATATAGACAAGCACCACTATAGAAGTGGTTTGTATGGTTTCGTGTGCCTTCAGATCTCAAAAAAGAACCGCCCAACTCCTCATGCGCCTCACAGCTGCGCTAGGTGGAGTGCCACCGCCGCGACGCGCGGCGGGAACGCTTTGACTCCACGCAGGCGGGAGGAAGCACTCCAGTGGTCCAAGCCATCGCCTCATCATGTTCCCTGTATATTTTCTGTAGTATCTTGGATCTCTTGTATCAAGAGAAAGACTGTACTGAGAAATGAACGAGAGCAGGGTGAAGCTCCGGGATATATATATATATTACATTATATTATAATCTATCATTGTAACTATAATGAGATGTCTTGAACTTCCGCTGAGCGACATGGGATGTTTGCCACATAGGGCGAGCAAATGGGAAGATCTCCCAAATCCCATCAAATTCCCGAGCAAATGGGAAGATTGAACAGCTCATTTGTATCACTGCGGGGAGTTTACTAGACGCCTTGAGCCATGATCACGGTGCTCCTTCAGTCTGAAGAAGTGCTTTTGTGGGAAAGACGCACCAGGCTTTTTTTGGCTGAATGCTTAATGATATGCGTTGGATTTCAAACTACTTGTACCACTAGTATATACTAGTATAGTAGTTCTTTGGAATCATTAGCCAAGCATCTTGATGCACTTTGCCCATCAAAAATAACTTCCCTTTCCATGAGGGGCACCAGTGGAGTCGGTTGCGGGTTCCCATGTGGACTGTGGTCGCAGGCGACGAAGGGCACGGCTCAGCCATTAGGCGCCGGTTCCGGGGCAGAGGTCTACATTCGCAAGTCGCTGGGGAAACGGTCCACAGGTTTTGATTCATGTTCCAACCCGCTGGTGTTCCAACTCCAGGTTTTTGGCCTGTTCCATGCGACATCGTGGAATTTGGATGGTTCGAACACTTGGTGTGCATCCATTGGCATGTTTCGGGGGCTTCCATGTTTTTTTTGAGCCACACCTTATTCACCAAGTGGCATGGAAATTCGGTGAGTGAACACCGACGAACCGGTGGTGTTCAACGGCGATCGAAGTCGTTGCTGGTCGAAGTCGTTGCGTCTGGGGCCGCTCCGCTAGTCGAAGCTCGTTGGCAACAGAACAGTTTATCTTCGTTTCTCTGCGATCCAAGCGATCCATCGACGTGCAGAGCAGAGATTTTTGTGTGGATCGTCTAACAGTTCTCTGCTCATTGAACTTCGAATCAGAGTTAAAGAGTCTGAGATGATACGAACGGAACTCAGAGTGCAAATGGTCATCTCAACACCTGCAAAACGGAACGGTCTTACATGTCGCTTACATGGGTGAGTTGGTGCCATGTGTCTCAAAAGTCCGCGCTTTCGAAGTACGCAGCGATGTGTTTTTTTTAAAGGAAGAAGACATCACAGCTTATCGGGAAGGACATCTTTAACACCTTAAGGTCATAGCTCCTGCCATGTTCCAACCCGTTCAGGTCGATCGTCGGACGAAGAACGAAGCGACGCGGGGAGAAACGCGCGTTTCGCAGCACGACGCTGTTCGCTGCGCGGCGAGTTTCGCGCGCAGTGAGTAACTCTGCTGCCGTGGTGGGCACCAGCAACGCCCTTTTTCGGCCAGGGGGCCAAGCAGTTAGGCGGTCGGGGGGGTGTCAAGCTGTGTCCACCGTGCGATCGGTTTGAGACGTAACGGACGGTGGAGCAGTGAAACACAACTGGATCGACAGATGAACTTCGGCATGGGGTGGGAGCTGGTTTGATTCTGGGTTGCCATGTTCATCCATGTTCTATTCACTTTGGAAGAGCAATTTTACGGCCCAGATAGATCTGACTGGGATCATTTTTCGCCGGTCAGACGGTAATGAGCGAGTCGTCAGACAGGCCGATCATTAGGCCTTGGTTTTCAATCCACTTCTCGACGTTTTTCTCGGTGGGTATTTTAGAGCCATGAAATCAGACAGGCACTTGGTCAACGATCTGATGGTTCTGGTTTTGGCTAAGTGCCAAAAGTAGATGGTTCTACCAATATGGCTTGAACACCCAGGCCATTCATCGACTTTCAGTATTCTGGTCAACGTGGAACACCCATGGACCGATCCACTGGACCTCCTCGAGGCCTTTCTTGCGGCTCCGTTCGGCACCGGACCCTGCAGCAGTGCGTCCGGAAGAGGCCGGATCATGGTGAGATTGACTCAAAGCCGCTACAATATATATATATATAATACAATAGTATATATAAAGATAGTTTTAATTAAGTATATTTAATATATATGGGCTTGTCTTTGTTTTAGGTGTCCAGTTTATGTAGGACTGAGATGTTCGACTTAGGTGAAGCATACCCCCGAAGCATACCCTGAAGCATACCCTCTGGAAATGCTACTACTTTAGTCTTCACACTGCGCGAAGCATACCCCAAAGCATACCCCCGAAGCATACCTCCGAAGCATACCCCATAGTCAAACATCCCGGCCCGGGAACCTTAAAAAAATACAAACCCATATATATATATATATATTCTAGAAATTGAGAGGACATGCAAAAGCAAAGGGGTACACCACAGTGACAACCCAACCTAACACAGCAGTCGTACTACACCACAAATTGCGCCGACGCTGAGGTGCTCAAAGCATCTTTGAGTGCACTATTGAAGGAGTCCACCCAGCCATCCGGTGGCTGGGGAGCTGTTCGGGTGCTCAATGTGTGCTGTTCGGATGGCCTTCATGGATATGTGTTGGCTGAAACCGAATATTGAGTCACATAGCCTTATTGACCCTGAAGCTATGAGAGATTCTAGGAGGCGGGCTGGCAAATTTCCTACTACAGACTTGAGCTTTCCAGAGAAAGAGAAGAGAAGAGAAGAGCAGAGCAGAGCAGAGCACAGGAGAGAGAGAGAGAGCAAGCGATTGATGGATGGATCGAGGGATGGAGGGATGGAGGGACGGAGGGAGGAAAAGAAAAGGAACAGATCCCTGCATTAATTATCCTTTCTGATTTTTCTGCCTGGATTCCAACGTGAGGTTCGCGAGCAGCTTTGGAGCATTCGACAGGAGAACAAGCAATGGGTGAATCTTGCTGCATGTGCACCAGCCAAAGAAGAGGTTGAAGGGGAGCTCATATGTCAACTAAACCAACAATACAATACAAGACCAAATTCAATAGTCCCGCAGTTCTTGTTGAAAGTTGTAGGTTCTTTTTGACGTCCAAGGAGTTCTGGACTGGAACGTGATTCCACTGCATGAAACTGCACAGATTGGTCGAGGGACACAAAAAGTGGAATGGCAGGACCTTTTGGTCCAGCACCTTCATCGCAGCAAACTCGCCTCTGAGGTGGTGGGTTGGTAGAGTTGGCCAGTGAACTTTGTGTTTAGGTGGCAGTCTTTCTTTGGAGATGGATGTCCCGGCTGGTGTTGTGGGACTCCCATCCCCAAAAACTACTTAAATCCATTTGGTGTACGGTGTACTACGCATCTCTACTTTGTCGCATCCACCAGGTGCTTGAGCAGGGAGCCCATTTATTCTGGGACAAACTCAAGATTTGTTGGGCCCAGAGATTGTTTGAGACACCAGGGTTGAGGCGTTGAGCAGAAAGGTGGTTGGGTGAGCAGGTGTCATAGACATGTGGGAAAGTCGTTGTGTTCTTACATTTCTCCGCCTTTCTTTTTTTTATTGTCTTGGGAAGATCCACATTCATTTGCGGATTCGACGAGTCAGGTATATAATCAAGCGAATCAAGCCGACTCGCGAGAGAGTCCTGCGTTCCAAAAAAAAACATCGGGTCGGAGTAGTTTGGTCCCATCACTTGACCAATTTCAAGGGTGGCTGACTTTTCCCTTTCCCTGGTCGATCAACATACCCACTGAAGGCCTCCGTTCGAATGTTAAACTGCTAAATGCCCAGATCCTTAGGAGTTCAGAGGCGGCTCGCAGCCAACACCAACACCGGTGAAGGCAGAACAGAGAGTCAGAACTGAGGTTGGTCGAGATGCTATCAAAGACATGTCCAAACGGCCCATTTCTGCATAATTCTGCTATCTTCAGAAGGGCGATCATGCAGAAGGAAGTAGACCCGTTCTGAGTGTTGATGTGGTTCATGGGTCAACGGGAAGCACCTCGTTTCACTGGCTCCGCCACCAAGCTGCGCGCCTCCGCCACCGGTGGCCCGATTTCGCTGGAAATTCAGACTTCATCCCAGATTCCGCTGACATGAGCAGTCAATGAGTCCAGCAGCGGCAAGTCCTTCATGTGAAGATAGCGGAAGCACATGTGGGAAGGCCAGTGGGAATGCCCAGTGATTGGTTTGCTATCGATGCTTACTATTTGTTGAACGAGGCTGAAGAGGTCGGAGAAAGCCTCTACCTGCTACTTCTGGCCAAGCCGAAGCCAAACAATATCATCCTCCCATCTTGAACTTGGTCCAGACGCCATGCTTTTGCCCCGTGCATTCCATGACTGAGTGGGGAGGCGGGACACCCGACAAATGGCCGCCACGTTGAAGATCTGAGAATTAGTTGGACCTTCGATCGATCGCTATCAGAAGCCAACACAAGCCTTTCTTTAGGACTGTACTTGTCATATTTTCCCACCCTCACGTGTCACCTCACCTCTACCCTCCAAGCTACTCAGCTACTCGAACCCGACGGACCCCTTCTTCAGCCCTGTGGAATCGGTCGAAGAACGACGCGAACCAGGCACTGAACCGGTCGGCACTGAAGACGCATGGATGAGAATGACACTGAGGAGCATGATGCCAGAATGACACTGAAGCCTTTGTATACAATCTCCTTACATCTCCTTACCTACAGCTTGAGAGTTTCAGCCACTGAACCGTTGAAATGTGGCATTTTGGTTGACTGCAGGATCCTTCAGAGGAGGTCACGGGCTAAGCGGAGCTGTGGCAACGAAACGGCAGGTGAAAGAAGCTGAACTAGCTGACCTCTCATGATGAACTCACAAAATTGACCTGTTTTAATTCAATCCTCCGCTGACCCATCGAGTTGTTCTATATAAGAGACGAGAGGGAGAAGAGCCTGAAGCATCTATAGGGGCTATAGTAAGGATGGTGACGCACGCCATGTGCCTTTCTAGACTCTGAAAGGGTTTTCTGTATCTCAGGAGTCTGGAGGTCAGGACTTGGAGACGTGAACAATCACCTCCACCCCGGACCTCACCCCGGACCTCACCCCGGACCTCCACACAGCAGGTGACCGACTTAGGCCACTTGGCGATGAGGGCTGACTCGGCCGAACGGGGCAGGGGGCAGGGCCGAAGGGGGCAGGCGCTGCCGGCTGAGGGGGCGGGGACCCCTCCCAAAAAGCAATGCCACAATCCGGTGTTCCACCAATCTCCAATCTCCATCCGGTACCAATATCCGGAGAAGGCGTGTCTGCGCATGTCGGGACTTCCAATATTTTTGTTCCACGGCTTCCTATGGCCTCTTTTTGCGGCAAAGAGAGCGGACAAAAACGAGTGGCTCTTTCGCCAGTGAAGGGCATCATGGGCGAATCGATTTTTGGAACCCCCTTCTGGGCGCTTGGATGGTTCGATATATGGGACTGTGGCGAAGCACGAATCGGAATAGACACACCAAGTACACCCTGTACCTTCCAGGGTCACCTCGAGAAGTGGAAGGGTGACAGAACTACGGAATCTATCTGCATGCTGCTAGCCAAGAAGCAAGACCTAAACTGAGGAATGTCCGACTGAGTTAGGAATCCAAGACATGTTTTTCGGATATTTTACGTCCTTTATTTGAGCAAAACCCTCAACTTTTTTGAGGCCTCAAGAAGCAGCATAGGGCCACATGTTGATTTTGTTCGACCTACTTACGGGGAGGGAGAGGCTCCTGAATGTGACCACATGCAAAGTACTGAATATAGACTCTATAGATATATTTACGCCTTTACTATCACTATATGTGGATGGTTTGTTGGACTGTTTGCCATCTCTATGCTTGTTGGGACTTAGATTGGGAGTGATCATGGCGCACTTCAGTCTTCTGCCTTTTCTCTAAAGAAGCAACGCACGAGGCCCCAAGACCTCTTTTCACAGTCACAGAACCCAGGTGTCCAAAAGTATCAGGCGATCCGGCTGGTGCGGGGTGGTACCAGGCGTACCGGAACCATGGAGATCAACCGTCCAGCAGGACCTTAGAGGTCCAGTAGCACTTAATTCCTCCATGTTCCACTTAGCAATTTGGGCTTTAAGACAGGTCAAGCCCATACATGCAGTGGTGCGTCCTAGAACCCTCAGTGGCGAAAGGACACATACTGTAGATTTGCAGTACGACGGATCCTCATATCACTTGAGGAAGTTTAGCAGAGAGTCCCAAGGCTTGAGATTTAGATTTCCTGAGCTTCTCAAGTTCGATCTCCACGTTTCGCCGTGGCGATCTCCATGGCGATCTCCGCCCGTCTTTTGCCGTGAACGCTACCGCAGACCGTGCAAGAAGAGAGCTTGGAGGATGTACAATTCCCCAAGGATGTGGTGGAGGAGGCTCAGCAGGCTGGAAAATCATCTTTTTTCTCTAAAAAGACATTCCACGCATGTTTCATACATTTCTTCCACCGGAATAAACCAAAAGGAAGGCTGCATTCCACTTCGCCAAAGCTGAGTTCTTGACCGGTCCAGGAGATGACCGTTTCCACTTGCAATAGACGTTCTATACTCGCATTTACACTAGTTTCTCACTAACATGGAAGTGGACCACCACCCATGGCCCCATCGTCTTCCCAGTGGCCAGAACCTCGCTGGCGCTGCCGTCCCTCGGATCGCTGCCGTCCCGAGCGGACCGGTGGAACCGGTGGAACACCGGGTGTGGCAGGCCTGGTCGGCCTTTACGATGGCTGCAACCAAGGAGGCCACAGGCGGAGAGTGGGACCAAACGTGACGTGTCACCGACTGGCTGCGAAGGAAGCCAACCGGACTGGAGGGACGGGGAGGACGGAACCCGAAACGGTGAGTCCTTCAGGTTCACCTTTTAAAGGATCTGCATGGATCTCCTGAAGTCTCGGAAGGAGCGAGGAGTTTGGTCTATTTTTTGTTATGAGGAAATGCCAATGGATAGGTGCGAGTGATGAAGGGCATATGCTGCACCATCTTGGACTCTGCACAAAAAGAGTCCTTGTCCTACAGCAACCCCTCCACAGTCATGTCGAAGATGTTTCAATTTTGGCAAAACAGAAGCGCCAATACACCAAGCATCAGAGTGGCCAAGTCGGAGCCAAGATTGGAAACATACATGTTTAATCATTTTTACGCAGGAACGCTGTCTTTTTTTTCTGGAGGTGATGCACAACTTCGTTTTCGCGCTTGGTTCTCGCCTCTTGGACCCTCTTGAATTCAAAAGACTTGCCAGGTGAAGCCCTCTACAGTGCCATCTTCTATGCTGCGCCTGCACTGCAGGGCCTCTTTAAGATTCCCAGGACAGACGCGCCAAACAGACTGAAGGGGCCAAGAAAAGGAATCTCACGTGGACTGCGGACTGCTAACAGCCTCGTTCGGACTGCTGGGGTGGTAGAACATTTGGAATGATGGGTGCCTGACTTGGTCTGCTATATCAATAGAGGATTCAATCCAATCAAACCAAATTGCTAGTCTGTTTCTGCGGTTTTGTATGCTTTTGGCCTCCCTTTGTCCTGTTCTTGTGGTTGTAGCTGATTATATAGGAGTTGGTGGTCAAGGAGGGAGGTGGTTGGTTTGGTTTGGTTCTTTTGGCCTGGTTGATTACGCTAAGACAACGGTCGATTGGACGCCAGTCAGTCCCACTGCAGACGAGACCGGTCAGACCTGCAGGCCAACAATGGCCGCGAGGTTCATGAATGGTGCGGGGACCCACGGGGGAGCTGGATTTCGTGGGAGCCATTGATAGATGATCGGTATATTGTAGTATTATGATGCATTATGTATTTGTGTGTTCAACAGTGTGTCAAAGTTAAAGACGGCCTATGTTCAACACTGGGGTGGGATTGGGCGGCCAAACTCTATTTCCGCAAACTTCCAGATTCTGGAAAGCGTAAAGCAGTAAAGCAAGTAATTGGCATTTGTTTGGTATAGAACGGTATGGACGCTGAGATTTGTGCACTGCCGATGTGGCTTCAGTGTGGCAGGTATCAATGCAGCTGTCGCTGCAGCTCACAAGCCCTCGACCATGAGGGTGCAGGCGAAGTGCGAATCAGTGAGAATCCAATCAGAATTCATTCAGAGTTCAACATTTCTTGCCGAAATGTGTAGATACATCGTGCCCTCCAGTGTTTCTGTTATTTCTTTGTTGTGTCCTGGACAACCACGAACGCTACCGGCTGGCTTTGGACATCTGACAACAGATCGGACGATGATGATGGTTGTGGACTTCTGATGTTGTCGTCGGAACATGTAAAACCTGCACACCCCGGAGTTGCCCCTGATCTCCAATGTCAATAACTGAAGATCTCATCCGCAGTTGTGACTCATACCGGCTCATAGTCTCATCCCAGAGTGACCATTTCGGAAACACAAGGCCGAGGCTTGGGGCTTCCAGCATTTCGACATTGCTGTGGCCCCAGAGGGGGGTTCGCGTGCGGTATCGTGCGGTGAAAAAGAAGCTGCAACGCTGCAGCGCTGCAGAGCGTTGGCAGTTGGTACCTTTTCTCAAAGTCGCCCATCAAACCCACGCTACATCACGCTACAAACGACACCGGTTCCTGTTTTCTAGGTCTTTGGACTGCCTTTGCAAAAGCGACACCGTCTCCGAACTTGACTCCGAAAAAGTCAATCGGGTGTCTGAGGACGGGTGTGTCAAAGCGACCCCCAAAAAGCCTTCTCCGTCGGTCAAGTTCTCGGCTTGCTGAGTGAACTGAGTCGTATACAGGTCATGGCTCCACTGGTCGCACCCAGACACCGACTGACCGGTTGGTTCCTCCGCCGGGTTCGGTGCCGCAACTGCTCGGACCCGGGTGCCGCGACCCGACCACGGCGGTGCACCGAGGAGGTCACCGCCTTGCGCGGAGATATTTTTCGCGAAGCCATTCTGGACGTCCTGGATCTGGAGCGTGGCATGCTCGTGATCTGCGTGTATCTTTGTTTCCTTCCCTTTTTTTTCAGAGATGACTGAGAAAGGAAGGAAAGGATCTGGACCGAAGGGGGGAAGCAAACCCCGATGAATTGGGATGTTCCCCATGGTTTGCACCTCTTCTGATTTGTGGCAGGGGCAAGCCGTATGCCGCATGGTCACCCGTCACCTATCCACCTGGCTACATCCACCTACCACTCCTCCTTTCCCTGCCTCCACGCACCTTTCCTGGTTCACAGTCCCCCTCTCACCGAACTTCACTCTTCGTTCATGCCCTCCATGACGCCAAACTGCTCACCTAAACGCCATCCCGGTCCCATCCGGGATGGACCTATCTCTCTTGCTGATCCACCTGCGCACTCGACCAATCACCACGCACCATCCCAGTCCGACTCCCATCCATTCGGCCCGTGGCCGGGACACGGCGAGACGCGGGAGACAGACGCCGTGGCGGAGCCGGTGTGTTCGACCATCCAGTCCGCGTTTGGAACGAACCATTCCGTATGTTGAATGGCCCGACTGTTGAAGCCCTCAACATGAAGACCGCATGAAGACCGCATGTCCTGGCTGCACACCGGCTTTACTCCGCTTAAATACCCCACTTAATGCTCTGCTTGACTTGCTCCTCCACCGTTCCTACCCCTTTGGTTGACGGTCGTCCGGGGGCCGTGCCTCTCCGCCTCTCCATGGACCCGATGTGACCGATGTGACTGGGGATGGGAACCCGAGCCTCGGGGTCCTTGTTCATCGACGCTGGAAGGCCAGTGATTGCGCTTCGCTTGGGGACAACAATATATATATATATTATGTATCACTTATAATTCACTATATTTATATATATATTTAAAAGAAAAACAAACAGCAGTGACAAACATGTAGACGCGATGCATTCACGGAGATGGATATAGATATCCCAGTGGGTCAACGCACCAGTTTAACCAGTTCTTTAGTAACGCACCAGTTTAACCGGTGCTTTAGCAAAACTGGGGCTGGAAGCTTAAAAAGGCCGTGAAAAACCCGTGAAAAGGACGTGAAAAACCCGTGAAAAGCCCGTGAAAACAGGGTGAAAGGCCGTGAAAAACCTGTGAAAATTAGGTCTTGGAAGTTGGGAGGTGAAATGCGTCCTTTATGCTAACGCATCAGTTTAACCCGTCCTTTGGACTTGGGCCATATTGGGCATTTGGCTCCTCCGGATCTAGAGGTACCTCGTCACTCGACATCACTCTTTACCCCCAAAACCCTTTGATCAAAAATCGATTCTCACAGCGCCTCGCGCCAGGAGCTGGGTGGCCGCTTCAGCACCAAGGCCAAGCTGGGACTTGCCGTCCAGCGCTCAGATGCGTCGAGTCTTCGACTCCGAGCGGCGCGGCGGCGCTAAGGGGCGGCCCGGTCGGCTGGTCTGTGATTTTCACGGCTGGTCTCGGTTCTCTTCAACATGCTGCTCATTTACACCTGGGTTCAGGCAGTGTGAGTCGACATGTTTAGCATCAATTTGATGGGTGAATGTGAAGTCGAGTGCGGCAGAGGACCCAAGTCTAAACAGAGTCTTGGGGAGGGAACCAGCTCTTTCATGTTTTGCTTATAAATGCTTATTACATATTCAGCTGGAGTGAACATTCTGTTGGTCTTTTGTTGCGAGGGCCAGAAGCCAGACCAGTGCTGCATGCCAAGCATGACTGACTAATCTCTCGCGATGAGAAAGCAAAACCCAGTGGAGGGCGGGCTGCGCCTTTACAGCCACAGCTCACTCGGCCTTCCGGAGTGGGTGGTCATGGAGAGTGGGGAGTCGAAGATACACGCCCAAACGGCCATATAGGAGCGATCGGATGCTATGAACGGGGCTCCTGGCCTTACTACTAGTCACAAGAAGCTCATAGGGGCTCCTGGCATCACTACGAACGGAGCAAGGAGGCCATTGAGGCCATATAGGATTGCAATAAACCAGTTGTCTCGTGAGATCAAACGCAAAACAACACGTGCACCTTCAGCGACTCGGAGTCACTCGAGCGGTCACGTGGGCAGTGATCGATTTGGGCTGCTTCAGGCCATCATCAATTACTTGATTGGCGCCTGTGTCTTTGTTCGCCGGGCCCTCAGGCCGTTGGTGGAGTCCTTTTTCTCATCCAGCCCGACTGTGGCTCAGGGCCTACAGATGGAGGTGCTTCCTATGAACACCACCTGTTGGGGTTTTGATCACCCAGCTCCATTAAAAAAGTGGTCACATTTTGTATCATTTTGTAATGTTCTGCTCTTTGAGGTGTGAGCAAACCACCAGTGACAAGATGTTGGAGCATACGCTGTGCTAGAAGAGAGTTCTTGTGCCACAGTCTGCACCACTGGATGGAAACTGCAGGTTTGGCTGCTCTCCTTAGAAAGAGTTGTAAATGCAGCTGATTCGCAGCCGCTGCCGCCTCCAATGCCACCACCACACCCTCCAATTGGGCAATTTTGATTTGTGATGCACACCCAAATGACACAGCAAAAATCAACAACATCTGGACCCTCATGGACCCCCACGACGAATCTTGGCTGGCTTGTTTACCTAATTAAGAGGTACTGATCCACAGCTGCAGACTGTCCGACTGCAGCACCGGACGAGGTCGAGAGTACGCCGATCGGATTCATGTTTTGCAGCAAAGCTGGGACATGGCCAACCACCAGGCTGGGTATGACGGAGTGGAGCCGGTTTGAATCGAGATCCTCAAAGTGAGCTTTCAAGAGCCCTTTGAAGGGCTCTACGAAGCTCTTGCATGCCAATTTGATCCAATTTGTCCAACTGTCAAACTTACATGTCAAATTTCACTGCAAATTCAGAGAAAATACCAATGGGAAGGATGCAATATTTATCGATTGACTGTGATCCATTTGATCACAAGTCACGTCTTAAGATGTGTTGAGGTGCTGAAATCTGATGACCTGTCATATTGTGTTTGAGACCATGCAAGTATGTAAACAGCAAATCAAGAAGCACAAAGTAGTGCTCAGAGAATGGAATGAGACCAACCATGACTTGACTTTCTGTCGCGTAAGACCTTCAATAAATTGAACTGAGTTGAGGAGGGACCGGGGCAGCTGGCCAAAGTCCATGTTGGTTGGCACAGTAAATTAGGTACAGACATGTCCACCAATTTGTTTGTTCTCCCCGCACGACATCGCTCCCCCAAAGTCAAGAACTATAGCTCAGCGAGAGGCCAATTGTACATACATGGTTCGCGAAAACGGTGGGCGCGAATTGGACATCACGAATGCTCATTCCGCTTTTTTTTGGCCATGAAGGATGCTACAGTACTGTTGGTACAGTGCTCCCGTGCTTTGCCTCAAATACGACAAGATGGAACACTCAGAAGCACCGAACGTTGCCAACTCCCCCAAAAGCCATCGCGAGCCGTCCCGAAAGCGCTGCTCGAGAGGCTGTAAATGCCACTGAGATGGCTCAGGAGGAGGGGGTTCGGCAGAAAGGTCCCTTGTTGTCCAGCGCTCGCGCTTCTTGTAACGGAGGGACTATGAAGTCAGTGGAAACGAAGCTTAGGTGTTCAACAAGCTCTTGCCCACTCACACTGACGGACCTATGTAGTAGATTGTAGTTGGGACATTGCATTGCACTCAACCTATAATATGTATATTATATAGCATCTAGAGGATCGCACTCTTTTCGATCCAACCAAGTGCAGGGTCCCGCCCTTAAAGTACATTTCTCGATTTATGCGTGTTTTGACCAATGGGGAGTTCGATGCCGGATTCACATCGCTCCATAACTTCGTTGGTCAAAACCGCTGAAGCGCTTTGGCTCCATACTCGCACAAGGTCCAACAGAGCAGCGCATAATTTTACGAAGGAAATGAGAGGGTCCCTTCTTCGTGAGAGAGTCCGAAATCATTATTTCGCCCGGAACCCACCGGACCTGTCCTCGAGTCAGGGTCATGTCATTCTTCAAGATCGTTAGATCAATGGCCGTGCGCTTGTCTTCAATGTGGGCGGCCACGTGCTTAGACTTGCTCAGGTTGTCAAATAATGACCTCGAGTCTGTTGCTGCTATCAATGGGGTTCGACCAATTCTTTCTTGCCAGTTGGTCAGATTCATGCGGAATCCTTGGATCTCTGACCACAAAAATCTTACCCAGTAGGATGCTCCGACTCCTTGAGCCATGGCTTGAGCCCCGGCAGCCAATGTGTTTACCGTGCACCTCTTCAACTTGGGATGGTGTAGCCTTTCCATTCCAAGTCTCCATGTCGTCGGAAATCTTCTCGACGATTCCAGGTGTCCTCAAACAATTCACCGTCTATCCATGTAGCACGTTCTGCTTCAAGATCACGGCGTCGACGATTCCTCAAAAACTCTCTAAACTCATCACTGTCGAAGTCGTCTGACATGCCAGCTCCGGCTGACGACACATCACGGCCTCGCACCCGAGACCGGGTTGAACCAACTCCAGCATACTCCAGCATGCTCACCTTCAGCAGCTTCACTTCCATCACTTCTAGGCACCGGCTGGGTGCTTCCATCCGCCATAGCACTACGGGCACTACCTGGAGCTTATTGCTCCGCTACCACTGTGGATAGCATCTACAGGATCACACTCTTTTCGATCCAACCAAGTGCAGGGTCCCGCCCAGCTTGAGGCGACGTTCAAAGTACATTTCTCGATTTATGCGTGTTTTGACCAATGGGGAGTTCGATGCCCGATTCACTGTTTAATATACACAATAATAGATGCAAGCTATAATAAAAACACTTGATTTGGAGCAAAAACCACTTCTGCCTGATGACTGCTTTGAGTACAATGTCTCAAGCGGCAACTAGTCACCAGGGCCTTATCATTATGACGATATGGTTCGTTCTGGCATGTCCTGTAAGAGCAGCAAGCACGCGCCTTCTCCACCGGGTGTGCATCCTTTGCCATTCCCCAGCAAGAAGGCAAAGGCTGCAAGGAGTTGCGAGAAAATAAAACAGAGGATGACAAGGGCGTCCCCAGTGTTTGGTGAGACCAAGGGCCCCAGACGCTCAGCCACAGACGGTCAGCTAGCGTTCTTCTTCCTCCCAGGACGGGCTCTTCGAGTCCTCCGAAAGAGGCGTGCACTCTGCGCGCCGGCACGTTCGCTCGCATGGTCAGGCTATATCCTGGGCGCTCGCGCAATTATTTCTGCTGATTTTGGCGGTTTCGCATGGCAAGAAGGGCCCAGCTTGTGAAGATATTAACAATCAGACATCTTTAAGTTTCCAAAGTGATCTTTTCAACATGTTTCAAGGCTTCAGCCAGAGCTCCAGTTTCTTGGCCGACAAAAAGACATGTTTCCGGATGAAACTCATGACAAGTACCCACCCGTCCACCCGTCTCGCTTGCCACGTGTCTCGTGGGCAGATCCGGATGAGCAGCGCTCGGGTGCTCGGGTGCGCGCTCTTTTGGGAGGAACCCATGGATTTATGGACATCTGAGCGGCTGGTGTATGTGTATATAACGGGTACGCATGGATATAGTATAATGTAGACTCTTGATCAATACACCCCCTATATGAAGAGGATGTTCAATTCAAACGGAATGGAAGGGTTTATTAATGCAAGAGTCTACATTACCATGGAGATGAAGTTAATACGGACTGCGACTATACGTCAGAAGAAGGAATGAAGTTAATACACTCATACAGATACAGATGCATCATAACTGCGGCTTCTTGTAGATCAAATTTGAAAGTCAGTGTGTTTCGTGGGGCCAGATGCAATACAAACGAAGCATGTAGTAGAATTCTACGTGGAAACTGGTTGCCTTCAAGAATTGCCACTCATTTCACGCTTCAAGTTTTTGTGCTTTGGGGGCGTATGCGCCGTCATATCGACAGAGTATGTCCGGCGCAACCTGCATTACACCTAACAAGATCTAACAAGCAGTTAGAAAAGGATAAGAAAGCAGAAAAAACAATATAAACACAGAAAGACAACAAAATGACTGGGGGAAGGGGGGTGTTGAAAATTCCACTGCATGAGCTTGAATTAACGCTGAGTACCGTCAAAAATCATAAAACATCCAGTAGCTTTGCAGCTTGGAAGCAGCATTTTCGAGGTTGAACCGAAGTAGCAGGGAGTATCGTGCTGGGACGAAAAGGCAGTGAGGATCCGTGTGTGAATTCGGCGCCCAAAAGACAGCACACCACAGTGGGGCGATGCTGCGAATACACACTTAGAAGAAGGCTCGCAAGAGCACGGCACTTTACAATACTCAATACTCCATTGGACGACCTGTCAAAATAGTTGGAGGAAACGGCCCTGTGCAAACGGAATGGTGAAAGAGTCCAAAGAAATGTTTACATAGTTTACATCATCGAGTCAAGATGGAGCTGCACACCGAAATGCCACGTGGCTTCGTTGGATTGGCCAATCGTCTCCAGTGCCCCTGCAAAATTTTAATGTTCATTTGTAACCCGGTTTGACACGCACACACACACACACGGAGTGGCTGATGCCATCAGGCTTGGACTTAGCCGACATGGCCTCTGGTAAGGATGTGGAGGCTTCGCCAGTTTGCTGCGCCAATAGGATCGTCGTGGTCGTCACGGCCCTTTGTGGTTCAACCAAACATCAACGCAAAGGATTGCTCACAGGTTAGTCATCGTTTTTCTCTATAGACCATGAGTTTGTTGATGTTTTTGGGTCTTGTTTCATTTTTGTTCATGCTCAAGTTATTTGCAGCAGCATGTTTATCATATTCACATGAGCTTTGAAAGCTGAGGTCAAAATGTTTGAATTGGGAGACCCTGGGGACGCTCACCTATAAAAGCACATCTTCTCAGCATGGTGTGTGTCTCTGTGTGTGTCTGTCAGTGTGCATGAAGCAATATGTGTACTGCACTCAATAATTTGCCTTTCCAATTGTTCATTCTTGCACTGGGCATGTTGCAAGACTGGAAATTGATGTGAGGTATTCAAGGCTGCTTGTATTCTTCACAATAACAACAAAATTTGAATGACCCACGACCCATCATATTTTTCCCTGGTACGTGTTGGCTACTTTGCTTAGTGTCTCATGGAGGGTATGTATTGTTTTATCTTGTCTTATGCCGTCTTATGCCCATTCATGTCCATTTCGATTCCTCCGCACATGGGTTCTACAAGTTATCTGATTATAATGTCCTATTGATTCCATCCAGATACGTTCGATCCATTCTACAGGTGCCCACAACCTTTGCAGAGATGTTCCACTTCAATGCTGCGGTCATGGGCTTCAACAGCTCCTTTTTCGGCAGCAAAAAAATGCTCCCAACGACAGGTCCCTCCACAAGGGACCTGGTGAAAACCCGGGTACCCTCCCTGGATGGACAACTCCCGTTTGTAGAGGAAAGTAGTCTTCCAAGATCTTCCAAGGGGCAATTGTCTTCCAAGTTGCTTTTGGACCTATATTCGTGGGCATAGCAAAGTCAGACTAAAGTCACCGAACCATAAGGTTTCTTGGGTCTTCCCCCCTTGAAAGGAAACCCTCATTGGTTCTTGGGGTTGGCAGCTGCTGCTCTCAGAAAGATGATTTGGAGGGAGGTCTTTGTGCTGTGGCCACTCAGAAAAGCGCCCAGCACACCCAATCCCTGCTGATGGGGCCCCATGGGGCCCTCCATCAAGCGGTCCACCCGAGGCAAATGGATGAATTCCATCCTTCAGCAAATGGATGACTTGGTCTCCAATGCGGCTGCCTCTTACCGGCTCACCGAGGCGCCCCAGTCGAGTTTCGAGTGGGCGAAGAACGCGAAGAGCTCCGCTCCGTCCATCAGCCGGTTCAAGTGACAGACCAAACACCAAAGAACATGACGCCAAGTGACATGAGCTTTTGTAAGTACCTTCCTTTAGGTCCCCTGTGGGTGAAATGTGGGGTTGGCCGGTGCTGGCATGATTCTTTGTGCATGTTTGTTCGGCGCTCGCCGTGCTTTCTGAAGCACAGGAGTGTTCAGTGCTCTCCCTGGTTTTGGCTCAGTGCCTTGGCAGTGGAGATTCGGCCCAGATGGACTGTGTGATTCCATGCTATATAGGGTACTGAAAAGGTTGCAAGACAGGCTAAAGTAGGCAGCATAGCTCAATCCTAGATTCTTAAGCCCATTTGGCTGCAGTTTTGTGAGGGGGTGTCTACCTGAAACATTGCTTGTGCAGCCGCTTCGATTGGTCCGGCACCAACACCGAAGGGCTTCGGTCTGACCAGGGAAACGGGTTCACAACGCCACACGTTTGACGTTGAGAAGGTATGGAAATACACGGAAAGACCTAGAGTTTGGGCACGCCAAGTGCACTGAACAAGGATCTTAACGGATCACGCGCCGTCCAGGACCGCGCGGTCCAACCGGATCACCACCTGGGATTCATCTGGTTTGGGAGCGAGCCCGGGGTGCCCGACCAAGGCACAGCCAGCCAGTGCTCAGTGAGTGGTCTTCTTAGACAGAAAAAAGGGGATGGTGTGGATGGGAAGTCTGTGAGGGTAGGTCACGCGCCGTAGGTTGCGCGCCACGAATCCAACGGATCATGTCAGATACCCATGTTCGTGGGTTTCTTCCAAACCTTTTTTGGGGCTGAGAATCCCATTGAGTACGGGTACGCATCGAAGACTTGAAACTGTTCCATCCGAAAAAGGCCAAAGGCCTAGTTTCACCTTTTCAAAGAGAATGAATGATCAACTCATGCGATCGTTCGTTCAAGTCAATCGAACGCAACTGGGACCAACCACCGAGGTTCAAAGCGGTGCTCTTGGCCTCCTTGCGCTCCTTGGTGGCCAAGGACGGCGGGCGCCCCACGCTGACGCTCGGGCAGTCGGGTAGCGTGCGACGCGTTCGAGGCGTTGGGTGCTTCTTGATGCGAACAACAGGTGCTCCTCACCAGGTGAAAAGAGTGCCGGATGGTCTACTGGTGGTGATGGTGAGGGAAGAAGAAAAGGACTTTGCCATCCAGGTGCTCACCTTCAGAATGCGGAGGTGGGTGTGTTGGGCTCGATGCAACCCCCTTATGTTGTAGTGAATCGATGGCTCTTGAGTGTGTGTGTGTTGTCAGACATATTGGGTCTATTCGGGTCTCAAGACCTTGCTTACAATATGGTCTTTCGTCTTTTAAACACATACTTTTCACGACCGGAGGTAGGTTCGACACCGACTTCGTCGACTTCGTCATTCATGACGCAACCGACACCCTGGTGCCTGGTGCCACCTCCATCGACGTGGCAGGATAAAACAGTCACTGAGTCGTCTGAAGTTTCTGGTTTCAGGCAGAGTGACAGAGTGACTCCTTGTGGCATGAAATGGTCAATGTGACTGACCAGTAGTGCAAGCAATAGATGTGGACTAGTATGTGGACTTTCAAGATACTTGGACAATCTTTCGCACACATTTGGACGAGATTCCAGAAGAAAAGCCCAAGTAGGCCGCTGATTGAACGACAGCGTAGATCAGCGTAGTGTTCCAAATGAGGGTGGTCCGTTATTGGACGAATTGGACCGTATACAGATATATATATATATATATTATATATATTGTATTAAATACTATATGATATTATCATTATGTGTATATATATATTGTTTTTTATTTTCTTTTTTTTCAGCCCTTTCATCAAACATGCATATTTGCATGACCAGTCAGAGGGAGTGTCCCAAGTCAGGGGGTGCCTACCCTCACGGCGGAATCCCATCGGTGTTGCAGTTGTAAACGAACTGGCAGGCCAATGTGACTTGAAACAAGTGGAGTCGGGATGGACAATTCTTGTGAAGTGTACGTATCCGCTTCATCTCATTCTATCTTGGAATTGCGAACGCGATCCGCATGTTGAGGACTCTGAAAGACGGATTCTCCATGATAGTGGCATCTTTGATGTGTGTTGTCCGTCCAGCTAGCTTTGAAGGACACCATGACTGATGTTTTTGTTGATTTATCATTGTAACGTTTAACATTTTATTACCCTCTGCTAATGCTAAAAGAACCATTTTTGGGGGTTCTTTGGTTGGGATTCCAGGTATGTGATGAGTTCTTTCATCAAAAGCCTGAAATAGGTTTTTACCTGAGGCCACGGAGCATCGAACTGGACAGCTTACAAGTTCTTTGAAGATCCTTTCTCGTCATGTGCTTGCAACGATTATTTAAAAATATTAATATAAGTAGATCTATGCATTTTATTCGAAGCGAAGTCTTTGATGACTTGGTTTGCTGGGCTCGGCATGCGAACTGCGAACTCCACGACCCTTTCTTTTCGCTCCACTACTCCAGGAGTGGAGCACGCAGCACGAAGTGGCCTGGAACTGGTTCTGGGAGACTTGGCATGACACGAAGAGGGCCGAGGCGTTCACAGACTGGATGAGCTCCTCTAGATTCGGAAGCCCTGCAGATGCTGTGGTTTCCATTTGCCACTCAGATTTGCTTATGGCCAAATCAACCCGTTTTGGTCCAGTTACGTTACGTTTGAAGCTGACAGCGGGCCTTAGGTTGGGGGTTACTTGCACAATAATTGGACACAATAATAAGATACACATCTCTCAGGATTATCCAGCAAGAATCCAGCATATTTGTTCACGACAAGAATAAGAGGTGCCCCATCCAGTCCCTCCCTCCCGTCCGTGCGCAAACAATCGAGGAGTTCTGAATAGGATCAAGGCCACCAAATGTATTAGTAGTAGGGTGGTGGCGGTGGTGGTAGTGGTAGTAGTGGCAGTAGTAGCAGGAGGAGTGGTAACAGTAGGTAGTAGGTAGTAGGTAGTCGGTAGTCGGTAGTAGGTAGTAGCAGTAGGTAGTAGGTAGTAGGTAGTAGGTAGTAGGTAGTAGGTAGTAGGTAGTAGGTAGTAGGTCGTAGGTGGTAGGTGGTAGGTGGTAGGTGGTAGGTGGTGGGTGGTGGTGGTGGTGGTGGTGGTGGTGGTGGTGGTGGTGGTGGGTAGTCATAGTAGTTAAGCAAGAAAGGGTAGCAATCGCAGAACATTAGAAACATAGACATACCTTTAAAAACAACCCTGGGGGAAAAAACACGTTTACTATTACTTTTTTACTATTCCCAACCATGAATTGAACTGTTCAGTGGGTGGGAATAGTTTTGCAAAAACTTGTCTTGTCCCCTCCACTGATTGGTTTTTGACATTAAGGTTTATGTGATCATCGGGCGACAAGAAGGGCAAGATTTGATTGTATACTACTGTAGTTACAAAGTGGATTGTTGCTGTGGAGTTGAATCTTCAATGCCCAAAAGGATTTGGCTTTTTGGTCTGAGTTTATCAGTTTCGATGATTGATACAGAAGGATCCAAGCGAGGCTGAGCAAGTCATTTTTCATGGCAGGTGAGGCAGTGGGGACCTCAAAGCGCAGATTTCGGGGCAAGCGCTGCATTTAAATAATTAACCTCGAGCTAAGCGTCTGCTGCGGGTGCTCTCATATGTGTGTGCTCTTGTGTGCGCTCTCATGCATGTTGTGTCCATTCTCACGTGTCCGCTCGCACGTGCATGCGCTTGCGTGTGTGTGTGTGTGTCCCACCCTGTGCCTAAGGGTTTCAACTTTTCACTGTTGTTCTCCCACCAGAATGCAGGGGAGTGGAGCAGGCCTGCAGAGCTCCACTTAACAAAGCTCTCTGCAGTGTCCTGAGGATATCATTGGAGACGTCCAGTGACGTACCTGCGCTGTGATACCACCCTACTTTTCTCGCTGTGTTTTGATTCCATGGTCTTTTCATGATAGTCCCCAAAACTTTTTTTCCAGCAGATGTACAGCAGCTTTGCAGCCGATTGTTTGTGCGATTGGAACATGCTTGTTCAATCATCTACAACTCAGCTGACTCAGCCGCCTTGCCATTTTCTTCGTGGATTATCTCACTGAATGAAACCTATCGAAGTGTGTGGAGCCCTCATGTGTTTATATGCTTTACTCTCATGGCCTGTGTGTTTGAGCTCATATGTGTGGTCTCATGCGCGTGCTCTCATGTGTGTGCTCTCACATGTTTTCTGTCTTACTCTTCCTGTTCGGGGGGCCTCTTGCGGAGATGTTCTTGTTGTTGCTCCGTTTCGTTTGACTTTTGTTTCCTTAAATAACGACATGTTTGTCCGCCCTGCCCACTCCTGACTTGAGGCTGTGCTGATTTTGTTGTTTCGTTTGACTTTCCTATGTTCTGCTCCTTCACTCTGTTAACTCGGTGACGCACAAACACCGAGTTCGACCCAATCCGCACCCATCTCCCAGGACAACATTGTGCGACTCCTTAAGGCTGAAAATGTCAAGCCACAGGTGTTTCCGACGGGCGGGAAGTTTGTGTTTGTGCGGCCAACGGAGGGCCACTGTCGAATCATGTTGAGTCGTTCCACAGTGTGGTTCAGTAACTGTAAAATTTGTTCCTGCCTGAATCGAAATATACGTGTTTTTATCAAACAAAATTCAGCAAACACAGATTTTGGACTGTAGTTGCTGGAGGTTCAGATGAACGCCTTGGAGTTATTCATCACTCAGCTGAGTCCAGCCGCTACTTAGCAGCATTTGGTTTGATTGTGTTTGCGCATTTCATGGGTTTCATGTTCGAGACAATTGAAATTAGAGTCACGTGCGTGCGTGATTGCGTGTCAGAATTCAGGGAGCACGAGAACACGTTTAAATGACACGAGAACACGTGCATGCGTTTTCTATTTGTCATGCATCCCTGTAATTGGAGAGAGACACCTCACGTTGAATCTCAGTTCCCACGAGGATTTGACCTTGCTCTACCGAAACATTTACAAGAAGTGTGGCACTCAGACATCGATTCGTGCGCTTCGCATGACGAATCGATGTAGCTGCGTGCTGCGGGGAGCTCCAGTTCCTGTGTGTGCAACATCAATGGCATGTTGCAGTTGAGAGATGATGAAACGACAATGGATGAGGTTAGTCAGGGATGGACATGACAAGAAACATCAACCACAACGAAACCGCCCAAGCCCAATATTGTTCCTCACCACAACACATGTTTGGGGGTAAAGGTGATTTCTGACCATCCCTCAATGTCGGACGTGGGATGTTTTGGTGAGCAAAACCTCAGTGGTCAGCAGGCCAACCATTTGACACAGCCAGTATCCACCTGTCGACATGAAATCTGAGTCTGATGGATCTTGGATGCTTGATTGAATCGTATACTCTCTGAGTCATTGGGACAGCTACATCATTGGGACATGTCGGATATATTGGGATGGCCGAATCGATGCGGGTTTTGGATCGGTTCATTCAACCATCTTGCGTCAGGTTCTTCGAGCTGGCTCCTTCCGGGCAGGACTACTTCAAGCAATCCTTGGCACGCCTGGATTACATCGCTGATCAGCCTCTTGCTCAGAAAGTATCCACATGGGATAGAATTTCTATACCCACCCGTGAGACTTGTGAGGTTTCATTCCCCCCTGCGGCATACAGCCTGCAGAAATTGGAAAGATCGGGTCCATAGGCTGCGGCTGCCTGTCCCCAACCCCAATTTTGGGCGCCGTTCAGCGGGCGGAGATGGGGCAATTCGTTCCTCCGCAGTGACAGGGATGATATATATGGCGGGCCACCATGAGCCTTTTGAGCAAAGCGTGACGCACGCCGCATGGTGGCTGTGGGACATAGATGCAGGAGTACGAGTTTGGCACAGCGACAAGAACATGTCAGTTGGATTTCACAGTTTTTGTTTATATTAGGGTTATAAAGCCACATGCAGTTTTTGCGTCATGCATCATGCAGCTTTCGTACGACGAGTACGAGTACACTTGTTCCCTGGGCTGTGATCATTAGCCTTGCTTCAGATGTTGAGCCGTTTGCTTGTTGCTTTTGGAGCCACTACTTGGTGGCTCACTTGAGATTCGTAGGCAAAGTCATGGATATCACAAGAATCTACCATGGTCTACCAAGTCAAACACGGTTCATAGATGTGAAAACGTCGTTCAACCTGTGCCCCGTAGTTCAAAGCTTGTGGTATGTCTGTAGTATTGCACCTACATCACAGTCTCAGGATCTTGGTGATGTCCCTTGAGATGTACAAAGATCCTCGCAACTGGGCGGCCGTCCGATGTTTTATTAAGTGATGCAGGATGGTTTTATGGTTTCTATATATCCTGCTGCAAATTCTGCAATGTACACAGGGTTGTGCAACGAAAATACGCTGAGTTCATGTCCTCCTCTGACAACGAAAATACGCTGCATGCTCTGTCACATGAGCTGCTTTGTGTGACACAACATCCGATGCTTTGTCAACCAGATTGACTGACATCCAAAGGCTTGCGGCTCGCATTTTTGGCCGATTTCATCAGTAGCCCGTAGTGCAGATACACTGAAAAACCTTAAGAGGGTGGTGTTGTTGTCCCTGGGTAGACGGGAACATCCCCAAAGTCTCGCGAATCTTGAGAAACCAAAGCATCATTAAAGTCATATTCTTGAGATTTCACACTAGAGGGCGAGCTAATTCTCCAGCCCCTGCTACATATTGGCATTTATTGGCTTTGCAGGGCGCATTTTGACCCTGGCCACTTGGTAGGTTTCAGATGTTTCATTGAAATTTCTTTACAACCTTCAAGTCTTTTTGTGATCCATGTTGAGCAAACACATGTGGAGTTGTGGCGTCCATGTAGGCAAATATTTGATCCACTGATTGGCCGGGATAGGTCATATTATCACGAAAGCCAGCAAACAAAGTGAGTGTTTGGGGGGTCTGGGGGGAGGTGCGGAAAGTGCATGTAAGCCATATTAACCTGCTGGTGTTTTTACGTTGCCAAAGATATGATTTTTTTTGGTGGGTGTGTGATGCAGAAGATGCAAGGTAAATGGGCCAGTGAATCATTTGCTTCAGCAACCTCCTCTATATGTGTATTGAATGTTTGGAAGACATTCTACTCAGACTTACTGGGTCACGGTTTTAACATGTGAAAGTCAATTTCCCATACACATGCAAATTATTACTCTGATGGCCTTTCGACAGCTTCCATGCGCGCTACGATTGAACACGTTCAGAATAGGAATTCCCGTTCATGCTTCCAAAAGCAGCCTTTTGGCCAAAGGCATAGCAATTGTCCTTCTAAAGGTCTAGCAGGTAGTTGCTCCTGGCTTTTGTTTCCCCCTTCTAAGGTATACAAGAGAAACACTCATACTACCAACAACTTGACTCCTGACTAGCTCACCATCATCTTGCGCATAACGGTGTGAGTCATTATGAGTCATGAGTCAAATCCATGTCAGGATGTTCCAGCAAATGGGTGACCAGTTGCCACCGTGAGCTTGAGCCACCGTCGCTCACCTCCTTTCCTCTACCCCCCGCTCACGGCCCCAGTCCCCGCCCGACGCAAACGCGCGCTCGGCGCAGACGAGGTGGCATGGTTCGAAGGATCTCTGCGCTGGGCCTCCGTTCCTTGGGCGGTCCCGTTCCGGCGGTCCGTGTGTCGTGTGTCGTGTGCGGCGACGGACCTAACGCTGGGAGTAAAGGAGTCAACAAACGCAAGTGATGTGTGTGAAAGCCAGCAGTTTTTTCAGGGTCTTTCTTGTAGACATTGGGAGAGAGTGTGCGAGATTCGACAGATTCTGCGACATTTAACTTTGGTGGGGGGGAACCAGGAAGTGCAGGTATCCTCCAAGGTTTCTTGTCGACACAGGCTCATAATGGAAGACGAATCATGAAGACAGAAGGCTTTTCATGGGAAACAACCATCTGTGCGAAATATGACGGTTTCCCTCTCAGTGTTCAACCCTTGGAAGCAAAAAAGAGAGCAACAAGCTGGTGGAATTCAGGAATGCCGGCTGGTTTGGCATCGTACACGTAGATATTTGGAGATGCTTTTTCCCTGGAGGTTGACCGATGGAATAATTAAAGGATTTAGACATGAGTAATTTGAGCTGGTGTTGCGAAAGGAACAACTCCAGTCGCGAAGGCTCGCGAAAGGTCTTCGAAGATGTTTCCTGAAACAGACTGCCCTGAACCCTTCGCAAAAGATCTTGATGGATTGTCAATCGAAGGCACTCGTTTTACCATCCTGCATCTTGGAACCTTTGCGTCGGGGTACTCGTTTTACCGTCCAAGCGTTGTGTTGGGTTGCTTTGGCTGTCCGGATGGGTCGCTCACCAAAGCCACCACCAAAATGAACTCTTGAGCACCCTGCAGCCCACAAAAATTACTTTACTTCGACTGATCCCCGTAGCATTATACTCTGCTGAAAAACGACAGCTATATTGCTGCAGCGTCACCAAGTCTGGCATTCTATGTGGCATTCTTTCTGGAATATTTTCTGACATTCTTTCTGGCATTCATTCTGACATTCTTTCTGGCACATGTTCTGGCATTATTTTTGGCATAAACTCTAGCAATCAATGTTGCATATTTTCTTACATTCTGTTGACACTTTTGCACACTTTCTGGGCTTCGTAAATTCTGATAGTATATCTGGCATATCTTCTGGCACTCTATCGGACAAGTATTCTGGCAATCTATCTGGCACATCTTCTGGCATTCTTCCTGACACTTGTTCTATCTGGCTCAGGTCCGGTGGTGGCCCCTGTGAGCCACTGCTGCCGGTGAAATCGTATCCCTTCATGGCTTTGGCAAAAGAACGGCATGAGAAACGTGGACCATGGATACTAGTACAGGAACATGACCGAACCGTTTTTTCCCAGATTGTCATCAAATCCCTCTAGCCTTCGCGTCATTTTGCCGCTTCAGGCCACGTGGGCTATGCCATTCCAACGGACCTCTTCCCACCCTTCGTGACAGCGGCGATCGACGTGGTCCGCTCCATGACCACGGCCCGGACGCTCAGACCTCGGAGACCGAGCACTTGCACCAGACCTCGGTCGCGCTGACCGCGAGACACGAACTCCTGAGGGTGAGATAGAAGCATTATCGCGTGGGCCAACAAGAGCTTTGGAGAGGAAGACGGGTGAGCGTTGTTTTTTTAGTGATGACCTTTGTAAGTTAGTGGCTGGGAGCCTCGTCTGAATTCAAAGCGCCATTCCTGAGTGGCAAACATGGCAAAATGTTTGTGCAACAGATGTTCCGGAAGAGGTAGATGAAGATCCTCCAGTAGGCTTGCCTCGTGCAATTTTTTGAATCAGCAGACTGAATGTTGTTGCCGGCCTTCGGTGAATGGGTGTGTGTGAAACTGCAAAGCCAGTCAATGTGATCTATGACAGGCAGCGATGCCGCAATGCCATGATATGCCATGTGTGAGAACGTGAATTGCGCAGGATGGAGTGGGACCTTCTCTCAAGGTTCAAACAGGTATAAAATCGTATCCTTCGCTTTCATTTTGTTCTACTCCGGCTATGCTTGTTTGGGGTCATGTTGAGTGCACAGTCTATGTATGACTATGGTGTTTTGACAAGGACCTTAAGACATGTCAGGCAGAATCTAGGAAATTGTCCCACGATTCGATCCAAGATCCCGAACTGCCCGCCCGACTGATCGCAAGTCGCCGACTGAATGGCAGGTGTCAGCACTGAATGGTTCTTTCAATTTTCCCATCTCACGGACCTGTGGCCCTGTTCAAGGGCTTCAGCATTACCTAAGAAACAAACAAAACACATATCAAAATGTACTTGAAGATACTTGAGGTATTTATCCCTCTCTGTGTGCCACAGCACCCAGACAAGTTCAATCCAACATCACTGCCACCTGCCGTCCTCCTGAAACGGCCGCCCTGCAACGCCACGAGGTCGATCAGGCAGAAAGCGCGTTTCGGTGGTCCTTGACACTGGTCTCCAAGATTTTGGTTCGAAGCATCAACGAAGGCCATCGGTGGAGTGGGAGGAAGGCACGTGGCACACTGGGGGGCATTGTGGCCGTGGGGGGCATTGTGGCCGTGTGGACATGACATCTTGAACTCACTTCGAGGTTTGGTGATCAAAAGTTGGGGCAGAACTTATACTCCATTATACTCCATTTTTTGGGGGACAAAAACCTAGCAATGAACATGGGTCAGAGGCCTCACTCAAGTCCTTCTGGGAATCCTGGAGCATCCTGGAGCTACATGTGTTAATTCTATTTGTCTTGCCTGGCCGTGCGAACAGAACCTGGTTTTCACGTCTCTGTGGCACGAAACCTGCCATCCGAAACCATTTTTTATCCTTGGCGTCGTGCGTTGCTGAACTGGCGAGTGCCCGTTGGTCATATGTGATAACTAGGTGGTGGTTTCGGATAATTATATAGTTTTAACCTTTACTTGGGATGATTGGACCCGCTGACTCTCTTTGAATTGAGTTGAAACCGCCAGCCAGATAATATCTTACAATCACTGCATGACCTGTCTAAATAGAGGTTGATACCCAATTATTCTGATGAGATAAACACACTGGTCGCATTGATCATGTTGCGTGAAGCCAAGAAGATTGTCTCTTCGAAAGCGGTTGGTTGCCTTAGGCTCCACTGTCGTTATGAAGGCAGTGAATACCAACCAGGGGAAGGCAGGAAGCTGCGGTTCGAGAGGTTTGACTGCAGCTTGCGCGGCTTTGCTTTGCATGTCGTCATGAATGTGGAGATAAGGGAACTATCATTCATACAGGGAACAACACTTCCCCTTTTTTTGAGGAACTCCGTTGCCCAATGCACTTCTGACATTTTCTGACCCTAGTTTGTGACCCAACTTTTGGATAATTTTACCATCAGATCTCGCACAATGAACCATAAAGCCCTTTTGGTTACCGTGGTGGTTTCTGGGTCGCTGGTTTGTGATTTTACGTCCAAGCCCTGTCTGAAATCGGATGACAACAGTTCTTGTTGGTACTGGGAGAGGTTGACGTATTCCCTGATTGGTGAAGCCTGATCCACTGCTCAAGTAGATCATTCAACATCAAAACGCTTGTCTATGCTTGTCTCCTCTCTGTCCCAGTCCCTGCGACGAGCTGTGGCCTTGGCCCCTCGCGGTCAGCGGAACATGCAGATGCTCAACGTTGAGGCGGACAGCTGATGAAGGACCTGGAGAACTAGGCTTTGACATTTCAGGCTGTAGGCAAAGCGTCTTTGAATTGCTGAAGGGAATTAACCCCTGAAGCCTAGAAGCTATATAGTTCTGATATTCTGTCTTTGATTGAATCAAAGGCTGCTGATTTAAAAGGACGTGCGACCGTGACAATGTAAGACAGACTAAGCCTGACATGGCCGCTGTTGGTTTGCTGACAGTGCCAGAGAACATGCGAAGTGTTCCAAGTACTGTCGAGAAGCCCTTGACACAAAAAGTTTGCCAAGTGGAAACACAACTTGGGTAAACCGGTCGTGGTGCTGAGAGACAAAGTTCTGGCACCCCCCAAAAGCATACATATCGGGGACCTTGCTGAGTGCGTCTCATCACGAGGTGGGTACGGAGTCCATTTCGCCTTTGTACTGGGCCATTGAGACCGGCAGCCACAACGTGGCCAAGGCCGGAGCTTGAAACGGCTTGGGACCATTTGCCTTGGTCATTATTAACTAAGGGGTGCCGGGGTGCCCTTAGTTGCTTTAAGGACATCTAGGAGCTTGACAAAGGTACATAAGGCTTCCCAAACATATGCATATATGAATGTAATTAATATATATATATATGTGTGTTGTTCTTTTTAACGAAAGCCTGCCGACAGGCTAGGCTGAAGTTGTTCCTGTGAAGGAAGAACAGAAAAAATCTTAAGTTGTTTTGGAGTTTAGGGGGTCAGCTAGTTGAGAAGAAGAGTTCATCAATGGGAATGAGATTGGGGTTACATTAGATTGAGAGCAACTGAGGGCAAATTAGATTGAGAGCAATTGAGAGAAATGAGATTGAGGCAGGAGTCTTTTTCAAGGCGTTGTTTTTTTCGGCTAGATTTGGGATATCTAGGTCCAGTGGGAAATAACCGTTAGTTAGCTATATTTAGGGTGTTCTAATACATTTGTTTTGGAGAGTTGCTTAGCTTTATTCAAGGTATGATTACTAATCATATGTCTCTCCAGCAAAGTCCCCCATGGACCTGCTAGAGCCATGACAATCCACGGAAGTTCCGGTCACTTCAGAAAAGCACATAGCTAGTTAGTATATATTTATATATCATGTATAACGAACAAGGCGGGCTCAGAGTATTGCAGCTACATACAGCTACATTATTTTGTGTGTATTTGCCTATAACTGTTTAGATACGTAGATATGCCGACATACGTATGCTCATATTCATAAATAATATATATGTATATAGATAGATACAGACTCCAGATATATACGATATATATACATTTTAGGTGTGATTTCTGAATATGCTAGCAACACCCAAGCGTTTTCCCTTGACATGATAGAGCCATGGGTTCTTGGAAGGGGCCACCGCGACTGGTTCCACAAGCGAACAGTTGAACCAGTGGTTTTGCTGCGCTTGATTTCTGAGTGCTAAAAACATCTCTCCAGACTATTGAGTCGATGAGCGCCTGGAAAGTGCAGAATTTCTCGGCGGTCGAGAATCCACAGCAAATTCTGTACATGTCAAGCTGGTTGTAGAATGCGCTGGCTTTCGTCCCCGCCTTCTCAAGTATGTATATGATTGTATATTTATATAAGTGATATATTACAGACAAACACACGCTCAACACATGTATGAAGGGTTTCTCGTTTCGTTATGTGTTTGGAGAACGCAAGATAAAGCACATCGGTTCCAAGAAAGAGTAGTGATAGTGATGCAGCAGATGTGGAGAACGCACCGATGCACACAGAGCCCCGCACCGAACCCTCGATTTGCGCACCGAGCCCTTCGCGCGGCTCATCAGCCTCGAGGCGATGATCATTGACTTGCTCACCATCCGAGCTGATCGCGACAACTACTACTACGGCCACTTGGTCGTCGTGACAACGGCCACGGTCGTTTTTCACCATGATGCTTGCGGCCATGGAAGAATTGCATTGAAATCTCAGGGCCCAGGGCATCCTTTAGACACATGGGCCATGCAAAGAATGGCATTTGAGAGGTGGCCATTAGTACGGGCCTCGTCAAAACTCCAAAGGAGGGATTGTGCTAAGCCACGTTAAACCACCAGTAAATCAAACCCTCACCACTGGATACATACCACCTAGGGAAGGTCTGGTGTTCACTTGTCCCCTCGTGCTTCGATCAAAGGTGCCCTTCACGTTTCGATCAGAGACTAGGATTCCCCTGGATTTCCACTATTTCATACCTGTTCTGACAAGTCACGAGGGCGAATGTGAAGCTGTTCTGACAAGATCAGGCCCCAAACAAGGCCCCAGTGGGGTCGGGATTGGCGACCTCGTGTCCATCCGTTCCACCGGGGTCTCCGAGGCAATGAAGCCTTGTTCACCCGCCATCCAGAGATCATTGAAAAGCTTTGTCTGAACCTTACCCTTTGGAGAAGACGAAGACGAGTCGTTCACCTGACAAGAGATGTATTCGCATGGATTTGTGGATACGTCCAAGATTCATAAGATGCATGCATGTTTGTTAGTCGTTATTGGCGGTTTTTACCAGGTCTTTGGTGTACAACACAAGGTAGTGTCTCTTCTCTTCAACCTCAGGTCGAAGTCGATATCGCCGAGTGAGAAACCACTGAAACCACTGGCCGCCAGGGAAGAACAAACACAACAATAACCAAACCAACAAGCACCAACCACAAAGCTGGTGAGTTCTCAGGAGGTTGATGGACCTGGGGCATGGGCACTACTTGGGCCAAGGGAGGGAAGTCTAGCATGGAAGTTTTTGTTTTTGTAAACATGGTGTGGACCGTGTGGACCTGGGCCAATGTTGTTCCTAAAGAATGGCTCTAGGGGTGGGCCATATTAACTTGTCGCCATGTCTTTTGATCTTGAACTCAAATTCAAGAATCAGTCACAAGTGCAAAAGGCGGCTCAGAAATCTGTCAAGCTCAAAGAAGGCTCATGATTCCAGTGTTATTCAAGAAACAGTCTGGGTTCTGGTGTTTGGACACATGGATCCATTTTCTTCACGATGCCTTCAGCTGCAAGAAGAACCATACACATGTGAGTTAAATCTCAAGCGTTCGAATCATGTACATATGTATATAGTACATATTGATTTGTATCATATTGGACATATATAGTATTTAAAATTACTGGCCTGTGCAGTGTATGACATTGACTCAGGTTTGCTTTTTGACATGGTGACGGTTTCCCCGTCTCATTGAGGCCTGGATGCTCCAGTTCTCCTGTGGCCTTTGTTGGATGGTCTGATTTGGCGCTCTCGCTTCGTCTCACAAGGCAAGAGTGGTCGTTCGCTCTCGCTGGGTGGAATGTCCCTCGAGCCGACAGGAAATAGATGACATGCAACTCCTAAACGGAGTGGACAGAAGGCGTTTCCTCGAGCCCGGTATTCCAAAACAGCACACCATCTCGTTGATTGCGGTCGACTTTTTCACTTTGGTACGTTTGTATTTTGCTGAACATTTGGCATGTTCGAGGCACTCGGCGGGTCAACTACTATATCCAGCTTCTTGTTCGCAAGTGCTCATGAACTGCCAGGAGCAGCAGACCTGAGTGAAGAGTGCAAGCATGCAGAAGCAAGGCAAGGTTGACCATCCATTTCGAGGTTCCCTTTATAAATCCATTTTAGACCATTTTCACCATGGTGCCAAATATCATTGGTTGATGTCCTGTCCTGTGGCGCAAACAACCTGCAGGGTCCCAGCAATACTCCCAAAACAGCAGGCGATTCTTCCAAGTCGATGCCAAGGCACTTGGTACAGGACGCTGATGGCAACATGAACCAGGTCTGGAACTGTGGGATGGGTCATGGAGAGGTGCTCGCCAGGATTGCCTTTGGACTGATTTACATACGACGTGTTTCCTAACTTGAAGATATTTGACATCTACCCCACTCACACTGACTTAAAACCAAATTCGGTGCTTGGTTGTTTGGAATTAATATGAATTAATACATGTTGCCGGAACAGTCCTCAGCGGCACCCCACTACCACTTAACCAAACTTGCGTGGATCCACTAGATGAACGTGTTTTGTGTTTTCGTGACACGTTTTTTGTTCGCCCTGCCGCTAGACATTCGGTTGACCAGATTCTTGGATCCTCACTGTTCTGTGCCCATCATGTGTGACGGAGCTTGCTTGGCAGAAGATCAGATGACCTCCTTATACTCACTTTAGCTTCGCCACACCGAACAAGATCGTGTTCGCGCCTGGATTCCTCAGGCTCTCCAGTGGATGGCAGACACTCGTGATCCAAAGTTGATCACCCATCCCATCGTGGCCCTTTGGCGGAAACGGCCGTCCCATACCGTCCTTTGGATGCCGCTACTATAGGTTCTTCTGCCCTACTAGGCTGGTACTATAGGCCGCTACTAGGCTGGTTGGAGGCGAACTCGCTCTGGGTGTGTTACCTACTAGCTAGCAAGAAGCCGACCGAATTCGAGCTTTATTACCTCTTCGGTGCCGACCTCTTCGCTCCGCAGCGTTCGCGTCGTGGTCCAAGTCCGAGTCCCAAGGGACCTTGACAACTGTGTGTTGACACCCTCGTGGGCGACCGACCCCAAATATCACTCGTGGCGACTGGCCACTCGTGGGCGGCCCATGGTATTTATTGATTTATAGTTATGATTCATTGATTTGTGTCGTCGTAGAATCTTTTTGATCCTATTTGCAAGTGGAGCTTTTTTGTGGGACTGCCTGAAGAAACCATGGACCATTCGTCAGCCTGGGCCTAGTTGCACTTGATGCCAATTTTGACAGTACAACTCCATTTGCATATCAACACACCACAAAGGCTTTGGAGCAGGCACAGATGAGCAATTCGCAGAATTGGGAATATTGGGGGGTATTGGGATCAGCCCATTTTGACTGGAAACCACCAAGACAGGGGGGCCAACCTTCGCTTACACCTTCAAAGCAGTGCGGTGCCCCGCCACCCATTGCAGAGGTATAGGCGGTATAGGAATGGACGCTTATCGCTTTGATCGTTGAACCTCTGATGGATTTTTGCAGGTCCCACATGTGACATCATGTGACCAGTCCTGGTCAAAGTCAACCCCGAGGTTGTGAGAGCTGTAAGAAACAAATCGGTGGATTTAGGATGATTTAGGGGTGTTTGGTTTCTTTTGGGGTACACAGTTTCCCCACACAGCCGCATCCGAATAACTCCTTCTGCATCTTCTGCACCATTTCTGGGTCCGTCAATCTCGTTTCCCGTTGAATACTCGACGTCGACATCATGACTGATCAGTCAGGTGGATCTTCAATCTATTAGATCACGAAAATCGAGTAGAAACGTCATAGAAACGTCACATCTGTCACATTCTGTCACTATATCCTCTCAAAAACATCCAGATCATTGGTAGAACACCTCGGTCACATGGGTCACAACCGTCCACCATCTGAAATAGAACCGTCCATCTCAGGTCGTCTTCTCTGATCTCATGTGGAGCCGTTTAGTGATGTATCACTTCCTCACCGGGAGCCACGGACGACGGCTTCGACGTGGTGTTCGACGTCTGAGACGCAGCATTTGAACGAAGAAGATGACGTAGGGCGAGTAGGACGAGGTGGTCTCCTCACATGAGGGCGTGCAATTTACAGATGAAAAACATGATTCTATAGTAGTTTCAGAGGTTCGATGATGTTCGATGTCGACAGATGGGGGGTCCAGACAAACCACCGACATTGGGGTCTGTCCCATCTACTATCAATCCACTATAGCCTATAGCATAGGTTGGTCGCTCCACTTTCGATTGGAAAGGGGAATGGGGATGTTTCATGGGGACGGAAGGGGTGAATTTTCAGAGTGACCATTAAGCAAGACGGTGTGAGAGCTGTATGCATTTGCTGCATTAGTCCTGTGTCGGAGATGTTCAACCCATTCATATCAGGAATGCTCAAAAAACTACGTATAGTAATAGATCCCCGTTGCTACCGACAATCTAAAATGGGTTTGGACCATGGTAGACAGTTTTTGGATAACATGAGTGTGGTCGACCTCTATTCTCGGTAGCAACGGGGATAATTAGTACCAGAGGCCCCCAAAACCATGAAAACATATGAAAACAATGGTTTTCACATACAAAAACCATGCTTTTTGCTAGGGACAACCAAGCTTTTGATGGTTTGTGGGGCCCCTGGTAATGTAGTCATAGTTGTGCTGGGAATCCCCAATCCTCGGAGTATCGGAGAATCTGAACAGTGTGGGCGGCGTGGCGCCCGATGCTCAGCCTGATGAGTTTGACCTACCCCAAAAGTTCCTTTTTTTGTTTTATTCTTTTAAACGGGGTGTGGGCCGCTAAGAGGAGGTAGTAGCTAGGTAGCTAGTAGCTTAAGTATAGCTACTCTTAAGGTATCTTAATTTCCTTTGCGGATTGGGTCGCTTGCCCTTGCCAGTTTGCACAAAGAAAAGTAAACGAACAGATGCTGCACAGAAGACGTTGCAGGAGGGTGTGCTTTTTCTTCACCTTGATCATCTTCGTACTCGGCAGCTCAGTTGAGATCTATATATAAGTTTTCTTAGCCTGCTGGGCCTGCGACATGATTTCATCCTGTGCTAGTGGTTCGTATGGTCAAGGACGACCACCCACTCACAAGTTCAATCAGGATTCTCCTGTCCTGTCCTGCATTTCTGGGTGCTTTCTTGCAGATTCCTGCTTGAAACATGTTGAAGACCCCAAAGAGGCTTCGTTTGTGTTGTTCATCTCAAGACCCTTTTGAGATGGTCAAACTGAGCTGCATGCGAACCAAGAAAACTCATCAAACATGCGACGGAACTGTAACTGGGTTCTTGCAGTGTTTGGGATTTGCCTAAGGCTTGAGGCAAAGCCCAAGGCCTCGAGACAAAGCTAAGCATGTTTGGTCATGAGAAGACAACCGGTATAGTAGCAACAGGTTTGAACATGTTCTTGAGTTCAACTGCTTGTTTTCACTGTTTTATCTATGTGACATTCTGCGCGTAGACTGTCCCAAAAAACATGTTGATTTTTGTTCTGTTCAATTCCCGAGAATTCTTGTTTGTGAGTTCACCCATGTCCAAAGATCAGCTGTCCCTTCCCTGAGATAGAAGATTGACCAACAACAACAGGATCCGCAAACCGGTGACTCAATGTGAAGGGCCAAGAACACCCTCAAAGACCCCCCAGGGCTAACTTCAGCTGGGAATACTTCTTGCACATGGAACCGTACTCCTTCGGCACGCGGAAGTGATCACATGCGTGGCAAGGTCAAGCTTTGGACAGCGAAGAACGTGTGGTGATCTTCATTTGCCGAGCCTTCATCTATGTCGGCGTCATGTTTCTCGAGCCCATTCCGAAAGGACTGGAGGACAGTGGTTTCGGGCGGTTCTCGAGATATTTTGGATCTTGGCACCGTTGTTCTCTAGATATACACGGTGTCACCCTAAACCCACCAGGTCACCATGGTCTCCAAAGACCTCCACCTCCAAAGACCTCCACCCTCCCAACAAAAAAGTCCAAACGCCCTGCCAAAGCTCCCCTCAGACCCTCAGAAGTATATTATATATTGAACTTATTGAACTAATAGCAACTGCTATCCAATTAGGAGCATCCAAGCCAGAGGTCTTGGGCACTTGGAGAGAGTAACATAGAGTAACAGAAGACTTGACCCCTGTAATGTAAAGGGTAAAATAGATTTGGCCAAAGGATCAACATGTTCATCACAAAACCAACTATAAGTGTACAACAACTAGTGTGCTGCTTTGGATTGTATGGGCATTTGTACACAAAGCCATGCTTACTGCTGGCTTTCAGTTTGTAGTCTAGATGAACCAAACAAAAATACGAAACGTTTTGCTGGAGAAACATGCTTTCCAGTGTTCTAGGGCCTAGGGGCCTTTCTCAGACAAAAGCTAGATGCGAGGGTTTTCATGAATGCTTCACTTACCAAATAGGTTGATCATCCCAGTCGTCCATTCTGTCGAACGTACCATCGGTCAAGGCAGCGAGTCCGGGTCGGTGAACCAGAGTTTATGTTTTTTCATCATTGACCATGAAAAACATGTGTTTTTTCGGCATGACGTCTTATTGAATGGAATGATGGAGGAGAGAGATTGAAACTCAGCAGCTCGGCCCAAGGCTCTACCTATTGATCCGATCCTTGGAGACAAAGGAGAAGAACGAAGGACGAAAGGAGGATGGAGAGAGAGCAGAGGACTCCTGAAATAGGAGGAGTCCTGAAGCAGGAGGACTGGGATGGAAAAGCATTTTCCAACTTGACATGTTGCTGACTTCATCTTGGTGGCTTTGGGGATCTTTTTTGGGTCCGATCATCCAGCTAAGCTCGCCACGGCTACCTCATGCTACCTCTAGTCATGCCTTGGACCGGATCGTTTATATCCGGCTTCGTCCGAGCCGAGCCGCTCAAGCAAACCCACACCCATGGGACTTGATGTTTTGGCCAAGCAGTTGGGGATGAATCTGTTGGAAGGGAAGACATCCAAGACATCCGAGTTGTACCCATCTGGGTGCTGGATATCTGTCGCTAAGTAGTATTCTTCGTCCCGGTGAGCGACGAAGGAAACGTCAGCCCCAGAATGTCCCAGTGATACTTGGGAAAGGTGACGTTGACACTGGACTTTTAATTTGTCCAGAAGATTTGGGTGGTGTAAAGCTGGTGATCAAGCTTGAAGGGCATCTCTGTTTCCTCCCTTTTATAATATATTTTTTTCCCGAAAGCATTGCGAAGGGTTCTTCCGGAAAATCCTTTGAACACTGACACTTCGACACTTACACTTCGACACTCACACTTACACACACACACACTGGAAGAGCGAAAGCATCCAAGTGCGAAGTATGCCAGTGTCAAAGTATGCAAGTGTAAGTATGCAAGCATGATATGCAAGGGTGAGTATGCAAGCATGCAATGACTATGCAAGCATGCAATGAGTAGGCAAGTGTGAGTATGGAAAACTAGCACGGGAGATGTCCTAATGAAAAAACATTTCCCCACTTTATAAATTCTCTCTTAAAGGCGGAGTGCGGGACGAACAGCGTCAACCGAAAGTGCAACCCTCTGCGGAGATCGTGC